GAACTTAGCGTCCACACAAAACAAACTATGCCATTTCGGGACTAACATATGATACACTTTTATTTTAATAATTCACTTGCACGTAGGGGTCTTTATCAGTGTGTCGGAACATGAAGACCCGGAGAAAACCCAAGAGGTTGGGCAGGGGACACTACTCCTTGTCTCATAAAAGCTTGAGTCACTTGACTCAATGCCAGACCTTATGATGTAAAGCACATGTGTTAGACCACTCGACCGCCACACCCCCTCAATTTTGAAAGGGAATTTGTCAAAACCCTGATGTCAATGACTATCTGTGTCATATAAATACAAGCACTTAATTACCCTTTATTACTAAATTTGTCAAAACAACTCGCTCCTGTCTTTTTGTTTCCAAGGTAATAAAGTTAATTTGTGATAATAATATTGAAATACCATGAACAGGTTATACAAGATGAAGTAACACCAACAACAAAGTCTTTATTATTGATAACATATTTACATCTCGAAATATTCATAATCTAGAGAGAGAGAAATGGGGTTTAATGTCCACTCGACACAAACTAGGTCATTTCGGGACTAACACATGGAAACCGGAGGACCCGGAGAAACCCCACGATGTTGCACAGGCGACCCTACTTATTCATAATCTACAAATAGCGTTAACATACTGTCGATCTACAGCAGGCATAAATTTTTACATTGCAGAGAGGTTTTTAATTTTATCCTGATTAAGTAAAGATCCACTTGATATCGGAATACTTTTGATTTTTGGCAAAGGGCTCAATAGATTTGGATTAATATTTCTCTCGGATCTACGATCAACTATTCTTACTTCAAGAAAGTTTTCCGTGTGACTTGTTTTATATAAAACATGGTAAGGATGTTGCAGTGTTGTCGGTTGACGTTTATGTCCGATCAAATTAAACGTAACACACTAAAGCAAAGATACGCTAAACAGTAAATCTTATGCAAGAACCGATAGGAAAGCAAACATGGATAGATAAACCAGCACGCGGCAGTTTTCATCAACCCTTCCTTAAGTGTCACATTTGACAATGCAACTCAGTGGTTCTGTTTGGGCGATAAGTTCTTCATCTGTGAACATACTCTTAAAGCATGTCAAATGTCCATGACTATTTATCATATCACAACCTGCATAGGTATTTGCATTTCAATATCCCCTACCTTTCTTGAAGAGTAAATATAACATTGACCTTTTAACTCTGTATGCACTGTTCTTAAGTCACGATTGTCTGTGTTGTAATTAAACATGTAATTAATTCAATATGTCCTTTACAAGCTACATATGATCTGTGCACACGTTCCGCTTTACTTCAAAGGAATATGCACTGGTCAGTAAGCATGCCGTGACTAGATAAAAGAGACAATTGTATGTTTGACCATGTGTCTTATCTATCGTCCGAGGGTATATATTGAGGAGTTTACTGACAATTAGGCAGTCAACTAAAGAGGACCACAGACGGGCGGAGAAGAGAGGCTTGGACGAGTGCATGGACTCACCCGCGTTCAGTCGCTGCCTTGGCAGAGGGGCAGAATGGGGGATTTAATATAGTTATATGTGATCTTTTAGAGGCATTTAGTAACTGGATAGAGCAATAAACTATAACACATACTTATGGAAGAACAATTACTGATTTATTTGGGCGATGTTTCGAAGAGTATTCTCTCAACGTTTTCAAGCAAGTACAGTAACAAATGTGTAGAGCAATTATATATAGACAAGCAATAACAACAATTCAGAAACCATGCATGACAACAACAACGTGGCCCAAATAAATCAGTTATTGTTCTTCCATAAGTATGTGTTATAGTTTATAGTTATATGTGCTACGGTGTAGTTTAGTTCCAGTATAGTCTAGTTTCTGTAGTATTGATGTATTAATGTTGTATTCTGTTCCTATGTAAATAAACCATATATTTACGAAACTGATCTCTGTTATACTAAGATAGTGTTACAGTTATCAGTAATATTAACCCATTCATGTGCAGAAAAGTAGGACTTTAAACTCCCATTTCATTTCATTTCATTTCATTTCTTTTACATTGATTTTAGTATCGGAACTAAATATATCCGTGCCTATATGAACTTAGATAACAAAATGAAGGAAAGGCATATTTTGTCTTCATTTACAGACGTTTCCAGGTCTGTTTCTGCAACAGCATTAACTTCAAAGGTTGGGTCAGCTACCTCATCATCAATGTCCGAATTTGTATCAGATGAACTATCAGACAATACCCTTAATTGGGTGTAAGCTGAATTCCACTAGGAATAAATCTAACAATATCAGACCTAAAATGAAACAAAGTATAAAATTTGACATACAACAATGAATGACAAATGAGAGAAGAATTAAAAACCTATGTCTACGCGCCAAATTGAAAATAAGATGAAATTAGATTTAGATTGTTCTATCTCCAAGGCCACACTAATCAGAGTGTTTTTAGTATATTTTAATGTTTTAATTGTTTCTACCTTTACAATTTTAGTGATATAGTTTGTAGTTTTCAAATGTACTCACTCTTTCTTGTTCATAACATCACCTTCTTCATCATCCTTCATCATCCTTTAAAATGACCTTAGACAGGTTAAGCCTAGCAGACGCCATTTTGGAAAATGATCACGTGACTGTTATTGGGCAGTGTCATTGGATATCGGACATAGAACATTATAACTCTAAATTTTGCTTTCATTAATGAGATAGGACAATAAAATTATGTGATTTACTCCTATAATTCTTTAAAATATGTGCTGGTAATTTGTTTTCTGTAAAATATTGAAGTTATTTTAATTACTGGTTATAATAACTCCATTTCTCCTAAAAGTGGAGATAGAACACTTTAATTCTGAGGTGACGAAATGTTGTACTTCTATAGGCCTAACCATTAACCTGATGACATATTTTAATTGTTACGTCAACTTTTGAAGAAACTGTCCGCCGCCTTTTGAAGAAATCGGGGGACTATTAAAGTGTTTAGTAGGTGAATGCCTTTTCTTCTTGTGTAACACTGTTATCGTGATAACAGAGATCAGTTTCGTAAATATATGATTTTATACATCAGCAACAGAATATAAAACAGCTACATCATTTTAACAGGAACAAATTAAAACAGGAACTAAACTACACCAGGAAACAATAACATTAACAAGGTACATTGATAGACAACTATTCTGCCCTTCTGCCACGGCAGCGGCTGAACTTGGGTATATCCATACGCTCCTCTCTGCTCCTCTTACCAAGTCTCTCTCCAACCGCCTCTCCTAACTACAGAAAGCAGAGGGTCTTATAATATATCTCGTATAGCTAACTGTGCAAATTCTTTTTAATCAAGGACATTGGCACTACATGTAGAAATTATTACGTTCGTAATTAAATACGTGTATATATGTAGTGGACGTGTATTGGACTGTATATCTTATGTCTGAGATCACATGTGGTGTTCAAATTGGTTCTATGCATTTAAATACATACTTTACATGTATACAATATTATCTTAATATGATACGAGGCTGATGCTTTCGGACACGATAACTTAGGTGTAAGTGTTTGTTAGGTGAATGCCTTGATTGAGTTCGAAAATAAGCATAATTTTCTGCTTAGACTTCTAGGCAGAGATAAGCAATTTGATTTTTTGATGCTTCGGGACACGATAAGTGAGAGTAACGAAACTTGCAGTGTATATTTTCATTACATCAATACCTTGACACAAGTTCGATAATGAGAATTGTCAGCTTAGGCTGACTTTGAAACATAACAACTCTGCTTTTAATTGAGGTAGAATGTTTAAACTTGGTGTAGATGTTCATTAGATGAATGTCCTGCTGAGTTCAATGATTAACATTGTCCGCAAAAACTGAGCAGAGCGAAGCAATTTCATTTGGTCGATGCTTAATTTGGACAACGATAACTTTGATTCTAACTGACGGGGACTCTCCAGTACGACGATGTTCAAATAGGCTAAAGTCACAACAAACAAAATCTGATCTGATCTTATTAAATCAAAACTGTGCTAATTTATTATGTAAAGACAGATTTATAAAGCTGTTGTATATTATTATTGTATTGTATATATCGGTAATTGTTTTATTATAAGCCTAGCTGAGACATAAAATTGTTAGATGTTGTCTTTTTTATCACATATTTTTGGCAGATAAAATATTCCAGTTGGCGGATATAAAAATTATCAAACATTTTGGCCGAAAAAATTGAAAGGCAGCGTGAGCCCTGATGGAGAGTGACCAAACTTAGTGTAGAGTTTCACTACCATGTTCAGGTAATTTATGACGTAGTTCGATGGTGAACATTTTCTGCTTATACTTAGACTAAGTATAGATAATCAGTTTGATTGCTCGATACTTTTCAAAAATGATAAATGTGCAATTAATTAATATGTATCATCTTTTTAGTTTGGGATTGCGGCGTGAGACACAAGCATCCCTGTTGGCATGTTTTCTATATTACCCCCTTTGAGTGGACCTTAACCCACATTTCAGCACACAACTTAAACGGCGTGTATTGAAAGTGTCATGTGGCAATGATATGACCACCCGTCTAATAGACATGAATTGATTTCAAGGATTTGCACAAATCCAATATGGCTTCTCGGATTCAAAATGACGATATATAAATGTATAACATAAAGGTGATTCTCTTTCGGGGCAAATATATATTTCGAATTCACATCTTTCGAGGGGGGTTGGATGGCTGAATGGTTAGCACGTGCGTGGTGTAACATAAAGTCTGTCATTGAGTCAACTGGCGTGGTTTCGAATCCCCGGTTGTACGTGACAAGGAGTAGGGTCGCTTGTCCAACTTCGTGAGTTTTCTCCCACTTCGGTTTCCTCCCACTGCTAAAGAACCCTACGCGCAAGCGAATTATGGAAAAAAGTTGAACCATATGTTAGTCCCGAAATGACCTGGTTTGTGTCGAGTGGACGTTAAACCCTCTCTCTCTCTCTCTCTCACACACACACACACAGAAGAAACAATAAAAGCTAATTTCACACAAAAAATGTTTTTAATATTTAATATATACAATAATAAGACAATACAAATATAGAGAGCAAGTAAATATTATACAATATACATGGATCATTTATATTATTTACAGAGATATATTCAATATAATTAAAACTAGATTTTATTATTTTCGTTCCGTTTATTCTGTTAACCACTCTACGCCTTGTTACGAAAGTGTTACGACCAAGATAAAGTGGAGCAAAGGATTAAGACAAGAACGATTAGTATATAAACGGAACCGAGTATGACATTATCGTCGCCATCTTTGAATTGTGACCCAAATGTGTCAATCGACGCACAATTTTGACCAAGGAATCTTAGGCTTTTGTCGAAAAGCGTCGCTCTTAAAAAGAAGAAGACGAACAATAGCACTTGACGGACTGTTTCTGATCTAGAAAATAAAACGGAACGAAATGTGAGAATAATTTTAATTAAACTGAGATATATTCGGCAATTAGACAGGAAGATGTTACACTAGGTTCCATATGGACAAGTAGTTTCACAATTAGTCTGAAATGAATAAGCTCTAGCCTTTGAAAAAAATTAATATCAAAGAGATGGCGACAGCTCGCATGTTTAACTCAGTTGGAGGTAACCGGACTGTTGAACAAGGGAAAGGGCAGCTGCCAATCCTACGATGAAACTTATGCCACTTCCCACGATTTCAAAAGCAAATGACCAATGTAAAGGAATTTTGTCTGTAAGCTCAGCTTTCGATCCATATATAACCGCGCCTATAATTCCAGAAATACCTGGAATAACAAAAAAACATTTTTATTTTTTTACATGTATATTTTATGTAGAGTTTAAAATTCGGTTAATAATTTAGTATTAAATGACACAACCCGATGAACAAATCTGAGCCAGGGTGGCACAGTGAATAAGGCGGGTTTTCGCTAACCAGGAGGTCCGTGGTTCGATACCGGTGTTGGCCGTGAAAGTTCCCTGGAATTCTCGAGGCTTTTTCTCCTGGGCATTGATGCTAAACTGAGGGCCTGGATTGCAACAGCGTCTAGTCGTTCGAATGATACGAAAAACCTTGGGGACCACGTAAAGAAACCCTTTATAGTCGGAATTCAATTGCTGTCCAGTTCAAATGTCCTTTGCAGCAGACTGCATGGTGTGTGCCGTCTTCATTATTGAGGTCGGTGCAGAAACTGGGACGTTAAACCCCGTTTCATTCATCCATTCACGGTGTAGCTTATTTTTTGCATCAGGGTTGTGAAATAAAATTATCCTAATTAAAATATCAAATCGATGACATACAATCTCTTGCATATATATTTTTTTCAAATATTGGATGAGATAATCTATATGACCTTATTTTATCACCCTTTTCCAAAATATGTTTAAACTAGAAGAATGCCCGGAAGTGGTAGACTAACGCCACCTGGCCTATGTTACTCCCCGGTTCGAGCTACCCCTCTACCCCAAATTTCAGACTCGGACCTAGTGTAGCCGCCACTCCGAACAGACAGACAGAAAGACAAACAAACAAACGACAGTCACAAATATTAGTATAGAAGATAATCAGTTCACTTACCTGCCATGACCAAAAAGAAGAAACAGGCTTTAGCATAGTCTTTGGACTCATTTTTACAATGGAAGGCCAGTAAAAATAGGGCAGAAAGTATTTGTAAAATAATTGCAATGCTTTCTAAACTCACAACGGCTTTAAACCAGTCTGTAAAATAGAAAAAAAAAACGCCATATTTGTATTAAAGTTATTTATACGGATAATTCTTACTGTAATGTTATTTACACTCGGTTTATGTCTCCATCGGGTTTGGCCTGTAATGCTAATAATGTGATTGGTTAAATCTAAATCTGCTGACAAATCAAGAGCGAGAGAGAGAGAGAGAGAGAGAGAGAGAGAGAGAGAGAGAGAGAGAGAAATGGGGTTTAACGTCCACTCGACACAAACTAGGTCATTTCGGGACTAACATATGGTTTAATTTTATTTCAATAATTCGTTTGCGCGTAGGGGTCTTTAGCAGTGGGAGGAAACCGGGGGACCCGGAGAAAACCCACGAAGTTGAATGCTGACAAATCAAAACCCTTGATACTGAGGATTTCGATGAATTCTTTAATTATCAATATTGCCAAAAGGGAACTGGTTCTGTTCGATCCGGGAGAAGTAAACAGACGAGGAACACGATTTGATTAGGAACTAAGAAATTATTGAGTATATAAAAAGATATGTTCTTGGCAACACAGTCCACCATAGCTAGCTAAATTATCCGGCATTCCATAAAGATAGGTTGCCAGGCAATGAAACATACACCCAGAGTAGCGACGTCGTCCGGTTGTAGCAGATTTTTGTTTTGTTTTGTCGGTATTGTAGCATACACTACACTAAAATACACTAAAATCTGATTAAGAGTTTGTTTGCCTTGTTGCTCTTCCCTATGTTAACGTTTAGTATACAAAACCTTTAATATCACAGACTTAGCTGTTCAAGCTATCAAAAATCATTGAAAATTTTGTTCGCTTCACAACCTTAAACACTGCGTATAAATTTAAAGTCAATCAGATATTCACTTTAGCCTTTAGATCATTCACATGATTTGTCAATGTGATATAAGGGGCCATGTATATAACTATGACAGTAATTATCGGAAATCCTTGCAAAATAAACAGGCTTCTTCGTCCCATGACCTTTAATCCTGTTTTTAAATTTAAAGTCAATTGGATATTAATTTTAGTCTCTAGAGCGCCCAAAAGCAACTGTGGACCCTGGAGCGACGGGCGGACGGACGGGGCCACGACAATATACGACCATATTTCAATGTGGGCGTATTATAACTGATCAAGACCAATAACCAATGAGGTAATGGGCTTCTCGTTCATTTAATATAGCTATATTATATACCGGAAAATACCGGAAAACAACCGATAAACACCGGAAAACAACCGAAAAAAACATGGGAAAACACCATGTTATACTGAATACCGGAAACACCGGTAAAACACTAAATACCGGAAAACACACTAAATACCGGAAAACACTCTAAATTCTTAAACCTAACCCAGGCACACAGGGGACCAGGCTTCGGGTTACCTATTTAGGGTGCCAGTCTCCGGGTTACCTATTTAGGGTATTTTTCGGTATTTAGTGTGTTTTCCGGTATTTAGTGTTTTTCCGGTGTTTTCCGGTATTCAGTATAACATGGTGTTTTCCGGTGTTTTCTGATAGTTTTCCGGTGTTTTCCGGTTTATTATCGTTTAATATCAGTAATTAACTTTAGCTATTCGAGTTAACAGAAACTCTTTGACCTCCATCGACAATCTCAAACCAACACCCGCGAGCCGCAGCAGAGCACTGGCTTCGAGTAAGCTAACTACTGGCAATTTTCGTATGAGAATCTGAAGAAACAGCCATACCATAACGGTCGCAATTGAAAATTACTCACCTGATTTGTCGCTTAAAGTGTATTCACCACAGACTTTAATATCAGCTAAGTTGGGTAAACAGAATTTAAAAAGACCGGTATGACCATAATCTTCGTTATACTGCCAGTATGATGTAGAGAATCCAACAATCTACAATATTATACATAATACAATATATTTACCCGATGGAATAACTGGACAGGAAATATAGACAAAACAAACGACTGAGGGTGGAGTGAGGTTCAGAACGACAACAATCTACAACATTATATATAATACAATATATTTAACCGACGGGATAACTGTACAGTAAAATATAGACAAAACAGATGACTGAGGGTGGGTTGAGGTTCAGAACAATAAGATATTTACTGCCAGTGGAGACATAATTACCACAAGACACTACAAGAGTATGATACCAGGAAACGTGTTGTGTGTATCATAGCCAATAACAGGACAGTAGATTATTGAGTTCACTGTTAACTAGACATGATAACAATACTGGGTCAGTCTCTTCAACTGATTCGCAAATAGGTTAAAATTGTTGCATATAAATTGTGATATGGTTTACTCGAAACTCGTTTTTCTCGAATAAAAATGTTCGGGTCTTTGAAATTCGGTATACATAGGTTTAATTGTTTATGGGAGTGGGGGGGGGAGAAAAGTGGGTTAACGTCCACTCGACATAACTAAGTCATTTTGGGATTAACATATAGTACACTTTTATTTCTCGAATAAAAATGTTCGGGTCTTTGAAATTCGGTATACATAGGTTTAATTGTTTATGGGAGTGGGGGGGGGGGGGCGGGTTAACGTCCACTCGACATAACTAAGTCATTTTGGGATTAACATTTAGTACACTTTTATTTCAATAATTCGCCAGCAGGTAGGGGTCTGTAGGACCTGGAGAACACCCACATGGTTTGACAGGCGACCATTGAAATGTAACCAGCTGACCCAATGACAGGCTTTAGAGTTTAAAGCGCATGCCATTGACCCCCACCCTCCACCCCACCTACCTTAAATTAGGATTACAAAGGATAGTACAGAAAAACCACGAGGTTAAAATAGCGACAAAATCATAGTCACCTACCGGCTTAGGATCGAAACCACGCCACTTAACTTAATGACAGATCTTACGATCTACATGGTACGAGTTAAACCCTTCAAACTCCTCCTTCTGGAATTTCTTAAAAATGGACATTGTTCCCAAGGTTGACACATATGACACACTAATTTGATTTATTATACCTAATTTATAGTATTTAGATAACCTATAAATGTATCAGTTTTGAAGTCCATTCGATTAAAATATTCATTGATAAAAGTAATATGGGTTACGTGACCAACATGCACACATTGATAAACTGTTACAAACATGTGTAACGTTATCTTTATATAAGTGCTAAAAGGTCAGTTACCTGCCATCAAGGTTAAATAAGAAAAAAGGCTAAACATTTTATCAGTATGTATAAAGGTCACTCAATTTAAAGCAACGATCCAACATAGATAACCGCAAGGCTGGGATCTGATGAGATTTAAAATATGCCTATCAATTCTGTTCACCCAAAACAAAATGATGACGGGTTTATTACAACGCGAGCAGCAATGAAATGAAATGGGGGTGTAACGTCCTACAGTTCTGTTCCTATACTGGGCTAATAAAGACGAGCATACGCCATGCAGAGTGCGCTATGGCCTACTGTTATATCGAATTCCAACTGCCAAGGGATTTTTACGTGCACGCCAATGTATACACGGGACTTCGGTTTTCCGTCACATCCGAACGACTAGACAGCTGTCCTTGTCAGGCCTCCGTCCTGCACCACTGACATGGACAAACCACGTCGGAAAATCCCAATGAACTTTAATAATAAGCTAGGCCAGTGGTTCTCAACCTTTTTTTGGCAACGGCACACCTTGGGATACATGAAAAAATAGTGGCACACCTGGCTAAATATATAGCACCAACTGGGCTAATGAAGAGGGGCATTCGAAATGCAGTTTGTTAAAGAAAGAAATTAGTCAAGACAGCGGCGCTACGGTCACTCTTATTTCAAATTCCAACTGCCAATAGTTCTTCTCGGCTAATGCAGGGATCGAACACGCGACCTCCAGACTAGAGAACCAGCGTCTTTCCCACTTAGTGCACCGTGGCTCCTCAACGAGCAGCAAAGATCGAGGAAATGTTAATTCAACATATTATCTTTGTAAGTACTGGACGAACTGAACCATATTTGGACTGAGATTCAGATTAGAGATCCACCTTTAACAATATTGTAGTCGTAGTAAGGGACTACTCAGTTAGACTTTAAGATTTACGTAACCCCCTGTAAACTGTTTGATGATCACTTCCATTTTGAGCTTCCCACTGATAAAGACCCCTACGCGCAAGCGAATTATTGAAATAAAATTGAACCATGTGTTAGTCTCTCTCTCTCTCTCTCTCTCTCTCTCTCTCTCATTTTGAGCGGAAAATTTCAGTCAAAGCAAACATTTTGGCTTTGATTTGCGTTTTTAAACAAAGTTGTTTTTCCTGAAGACCTATTGAAACTGGAACTTGTCCTTTAAATCAGTCTAACTTATAGTGCAAACGTGATAAAAGTTTTATTGTAAATTTATTTTTAAAAAAAATAAGAAGAAAGTTATGTGAACTACAAATTCATTGATAATAGGCCTACTTTATTCATTGATAATAGGCCAATGTGTATACTATTAGATAACAAATGCGTAATAATAATCTTCTAATGTTTCCATCGCTCAAGACAGAATTGACCGCGCTTGGGTGAAAAGGAGTCGTAATCGAAGTGGAGGCAATTTACGCTGGAATGATGGAGGATATTAAAAGACGTACTACATCTTTTCGCTTTCTATATATATATATATATTCCAAATTGTCGAAATGAAATGGGGTGTTTAATGTCCTACTGGGATAAAGGGGACGGATATAAGCAATATCGTGTGTTATGAAGGAAATAAGGAAATCTTGCCCGGACAGAGGCGCTATGGCCTACTCTTACATCGAAATCGAACCGCCAAGGGATCTTTTACGTGAACACTAGTGTGTACACGGGATCTCGTTTGTTCGTCCCATCTGAACGACTAAACAGCACCCCATCCTGCACCAGACATGGGGGAACCACGCCGGAAAAAACCCGATGAACTAGGGTTAGGGTTTAGGGCTTTATCTTCCATTGACTGTTGGAATGTCCTGGGAGAGAGATTAATAGGAAGACATTTATATCAACCAGTTTTACTTACTTGCAGGGCCATAGCAATCAATACAAATACCGTCACAATAATAAATCCCCGAGTGGCCATTTTCTACGCTGATATGATCTGAAATGAAAAGAACAAAAATAGTTGCCAGGCAACAAAACATCCCACAGCAGCTTTGTCGTTATTAGCAATGAACTAAGTATGTGAGTTGGTGTAAGTAAATCATATTTGGAATGATAACATGGTCCGGGTACACGATAAAGTGAGAAAAAGTATGTTTCACACTCCTTCTTGTTAATGAGTGGCGTGGTTTAGCCGAATCCCTGTTTGTACGTGTCCTTCGGTTTCCTCCCACTGCAAGGCCCCAACGCGCAGGCGAATTATTGAAATAGAATGACCCCCACGCCCCCCCCCCCACACACACACACACGCTTCACACGCCACTGGCAGTAAATGAAATGAAATGGGGTTTAACAGCTTACTGTTCTGCTCCGACTGGGCTAATGAAGACGGGCATACGCCATACAGGTTGCTATGGGGAAAATATTTCCCGGGAAGTGGCAATTCCAACTGCCAAGGGATCTTTTACGTGCACGCCTATGTATACACGGGACCTTTTTTTCTTGCCCCTGATAGTGATACTATAGTCACTATAGTGTTAAGTCTTGTGTAAATAAATACATGGGTGGTATATACATAGTAAATATAATGACGAATAAAACCTGTGTCATTTGATAGATGAATAAACCTTATAGACTTTTTGTCAAAGCTATAATGCTCATATTTCCCATATCTAGGGCTTGCCACCATTAAAGATACATTTCGTAAGAGTTAAACGTGTTCAAATGTTATATAAATTATTATTTAGACATTACAGGACTATAATCAACTCTCTAGAACATCGGATGGTGCAGATGTAAACGGATTGAAATATGAACGCCATTAATGATTTAATTTCAAAATGGAGAAGGAGGCAAAGTCCCGATTAACATGTAACATTGCTATAATATAACAATCTATGTCAAAACCTCGACAGTGATAACTTCGTTCAGAACAAAGTAATTTGTATGAAATTTTCAATACATTAATTCTTCATTATTTATTTTTGAACTATTATAGCAAGAACAGGCAGCTTTTTATTTAATTTTAAATCTTACTTAAAGAAGCACTATGTAAGATTTAGATAAAGAGCTGCCCGTTCTTTCCATAATAGTTCAAAAATAGGTAATGCAACATAAATATATTGACAATTTCATTCGAATTACTTTGTTCTGAACGAAGTTATCAATGTTTGTAGTTTTGACAAGATGTGTGCATTGATTGTTTATTATCGAAACCACCGTTAATTTCATCATTAAATGGCCAAACCGCTCTAATGTACTTAAAATCGGAGCCATCCGATGGCACCGAGAGTTGATTGTGGTCTTGTCATGTTAATAATTGCCTAATTAATAATTTATATAACATTTAAGGCCCGAAGAAAGGCCTGCAATAGGTAGATTTGGCTCTTGAATAATTCCTCTTTAATTTTTCACTATCTATTTTAGAACTATAGCAAAAGAGGCCAGTTATTTATCTAAATCTTACTAAATGTATCTTAAAGACATGGCCTTATCAATTGCTAGTTAATTATATGACAGATATAGCCTCGGGAATTTGTTATTGAGCGTATTATACAAAAATGTCACTAACAAACACGATGTTATGAATCAACAACCCCTAGGCGTGAGTTGACTAATTTCACCACGTGACTTCAATTATATCCTGAACTTTTAACCCTAAATTTAAACACATCATTATAATATATATCATACTAGACATCTTTATAGCACTTATATATTAATATTTTATCTTTCAGATTAGTATATATGCGTTTGTTGCTTATTGTTTGGAATGCCTGTTTATATTGCGTCCATGAAGACAGGCATACGCCATACAGTGTGCTATGATGGAAATGTTGCCCGGACAGCGGCGCAACAGCCTACTCTTATATCGAATTACAGCTGTCAATTTTATCTTTAATGTGCACGCCAATGTGTACACGGGACCTCGTTTTTTTGTATCATCTGAACGACTAGACAGCTGTTGTTGCCAGGCTTTCCACCATGCATCACTGACAAGGGGAAACCACGCCGGATAAATCCCGATGAACTTTCTAGGCCAGTGGTTCTCAACCTCTTTTGGCAACGGCACATCTTGGGACACATGATAAAATAGTGGCACACCTGGCTAAATTTATAGAAAACATATTTGAATTTTGCAAAATAAAAACATGTTAATTCAGACGGCATACAACCGTAGGCAGAGACTAGTCATAGACACATAGAATGACACATAGAAACACAGCTATGAACCTATCAGTTGACACCAGTGAATACACAATTGGGATCACGTGGTTTTTTGCATTTTTTTAGTTTGCCGTTCAAAATTTCACGGCATACTTAGGAAGATCTGGTTGAGAATCACTGTTCTAGGCCAACACCGGGCGCGAACCACCGACCTCCAGGCTAGCGAGCCAGCGTCTTACCTACTTAGCCACCGTGGCTCCCATGCTGTACGCTCCACTTGTACTTACTAATATATATGAAACGGAATGGGGTCTAACTGCTCACTGGTCTGCACCAACTGGGCTAATGAAGAGGGACATTCGCAATAGTTTGTTAAAGAGAGAATTTCAAATTTTCTAAGAAAGTCAAAACATAATTATTTCTATGTCTTTTGCTCAATAGGTTATCAAATCACTAAAAATCTATGACACAGGAAATAACAACACAATTACGTCCCCTGTTTTGCTATTGACAACATGGGGCAGCCATTTTCCAACTTTGGAATTTGAAGTTAAGAATGATATTTTTGCCAATTTCTCAGCTGGCAATAGCGAGTTATAGGATTAATAGGATTATTCTTTAACAAGGTAGGATTGTTTATGGATACCATCTATTTTAAGGCTTTATTTTAATTTTAAAAATATAACTTGAAAATTTGCAATTGCAACTTTAAAGAAGGAAATTAGCCAAGACAGCGGCGCTACGGTCACTCTTATTTCGAATTCCAACTGCCAATAGTTCTTCTACGTGCACGTCAATGTGTACGCGGGACCTCGGTTTGTTGTAACACCCGAGCGACTATACACTTTCCTTGCCAATGATAATTGGAAACCACACCCGATACAAAAAAAAAACAGTCTCGTCGGTGGGCTGCAAAACCGTGATCTCCCAAAAAGTACATATGCTCGTCGTCATTATCCCGGTTAGTACAGGATGGTAGGGCGTTAAAACCCATTTTATTTCAATTCTTGTTTTGTGTTGTGTGGTGCTCCTGCGCTTACTATATGTATCAATCTGATTAAAATACAGATGTATATTTCGTTTCGTTTTTTATACTTTCGATGGCCTACACTACATGAAGATCCGACAAGTTATAGCGATAGGTCACGTCAGGGGTCAAAAGACCGACTTATGACCCTTTTGACGTCATTCAGAACACCAGTTAAATAACAACTCTTCCAGATCCGAGTGCAGTAAAGACAAGTAAAACGAAATTTTGAACTATAAAAACGAAACGAAATAGGATCTGTGTTTTAACCAGATTGTAAATGTATATGAGATACACGTTGTATGACCAAGGCCGTTCAGATATGCCTATATATAGATGAAATATACTATAGAAAAATATGATAAATATTGATGATAACGATATAGTTTTGCTTGGCTTGTGGATTTCTCAGTTGAAAAACTAAATACTTAATAACAGAAACTTAAAGCTAGAAATGAAATGAAATGAAATGGGGTTTAACGTCGGTCAACACAGGGATCGAATACATACGGGCCCTCAAGGTTAGTGAACCAACTGATCCGGTTAAAGCTACTGGTATTATAACCAGATTATCTTTACACTGCATTAACTAGCAATGAGAAGATTGAGCTGAATATTTATCTGGACATTCGTCTAAAAAGAGACAATATTATTTGAAGAAAAGTTTTAAGCTAATAACATAAGAACATTTATCGGTGTCTCTGTCATTATTCATTGATTATACCCTATATAGGTCCACAACCCTCCCCACCTCTCTGTTTTAACAAATAGTTGTTTTCAATAACGATATCAACGTTAACAAATAGTCGTATTCAATTAATGATATCAACGCAGTGTATAAACAAATAGTCGTATCTATTAATGATATGCAAGAGTTAAATCTGTCTATTGCAGGTCTTTCTTTATGCCTTATAGACATTAATTAACTTATCAAGGCCATAATCAACTCTCGATACCATCGTTAGCCTGCAATATTTAGTAGATTTAAATACGTTTTGTTGTGAATGAAATAACCGTGCATAAAAATGGATAATCTAGATGATGTTCGAAGCGAGCCTAAAATTGAATCAATAATATCTAAGTTCATAGAGAAGCAATTTGACTGAACTTTTTAGCATATTCTCTTTTCATTATCTATATATTAACTGGTATAGCGAGAACTGTCAGCTCTTTATCTAATCTTACCTAAGACCCCTTTAAATAACACTTGATTACAATAAACGACGTTATCGAGCCGTGAACAAGGCATAGTATTAAAGGGCGTACGTCTGTCTCTGACTCTATTCTTTGAGACCAATAGACGAAATGGGCATAAAAGCACATATTAAACATACATTATGCAAGAGCTAAATCTGTCTATTGCAGGTCTTTCTTCTTTCAATAAGTTCGTAAATAGCAGAATGTACATAGCAGACGACACGACTGACATTGAGTGCCGCCATATTGATTAGACGTTATTAAGTCAGGATCATCTGTTGCTGCGGTGCTAGTTCCGAGCACCGGTAACCATAATCTCTACCTGATAAAGTCGCCAAAGAAAATTGTAATTATCTGCATTCGGATTCCTTAATAAAAAATTCCTTAAATATGACCGGCTGCTAACATTTTCGTTATGTAAGAACTTCACTGCATTCCATATCACAAGATAACATACGAGTCGGCCTATAAATAGAATATCGACCGTACTTGTCTGCGATATCACCCTACTAGCGGATGTAAAACCTCTACTAGAAGAAAGAGAAGAATCGTGCTTACAACTAAAAATATATTACAAACCTTCCTTATGCAATTCAATGGGTCTGGTTGTCGTAGCAAAGATCCTCCAAGGCGATATGAAATAACAACTATTAGTGAGCAACGTCTTTATGTATGCTACGTAGTAATAAATACAGTTTGGCCGTAAAGACGGGTAGAAACAAAACTAGGTCACTAACTGTGTCTTGTGACTAATGTGAAGGCTGAATATAATGCGTAATAATTCGGAATGTTCTTCCAGTGGGTAAGACCCACGTGATTTTTAAGGGCCGATTTTATAACAAAAAATGCATTGCGTTGTAGAAATACATAACGTAAAAATGACACGAGATAAACTGACGAAAGCTATAATATATATATAGCTATACGTGTTATCTTAGCAGACGATATGGGTGATAGACGGGGTCAATGATCGGCCGAATGCAATAGATACGCAAAACTAGGTTTAAATAGCAAGAGCAGCATTTTATATGGAAGCCAAGTGTATTCAAATAAACACAGTTATTAACACCAACTAGTACAAAAGAAGCAAGAATTTTATTTCCCTGGGCGCCTAACAAAGAAATTAATTTATATCAATATCTATATATATTTAGTGTCGCCTGTCCAACCTGTAGGGTTTCTCCAAAGCTAAGACCCTTACGCGCAAGCGAATTATTGAAATAAAATTGAACTTTACGTTAGTCCCGAAATGACCTATATAGTTGGTGACGAGTGGGCGTTAAACCCCATTAATCTCTCGGCGTCATACAGTAAATCCGAGGTCCCGTGTACACATTGGCGTGCACGTAAAAGATAATCTCTTTACGTTTATTCTGACATATTTTTAAAATGATGTAATGAAATATAAGAACCCATGTATTTTGCATATAGCTGTATTTACAAAGAAACATATTTACAGTATCAATAAAATTATAAAACAGATGACAGTCATTGTATGCATTGTACCAAGGCCGGTATCTACATTTCAGCGATAGCACCTTATAGAGTATATGAGCCCGGGGGGTTCGACCTAGCTGAAAAGCTAACCAATTTCTATATGTGTCACTAGGTTCCCTATGAGTCACTATCACAGGTTATGAACGTCTGCTGTACGTTTTGCAACACGTTTCATGTGGTTAGTAAATAAGCTAGTCTAGCTTAGTTTTTAGCTACCTTTTTTTTTTTAGTCTGACGGACACGCCCCACCGCCATTCTCAATACATTTTGATATGCTTAACATTTTGCAACAAGTTTTACGTGGTTAATAAACGAGCTAGTCTAGCTTAGTTTTTGGATCCAATTATTTTGCCCCTCTTGACCATACCCACCACAACATGCACGGCAGACGTTAATATCCTGTGACAGTGACCCATAGGGAACCTAGTGACACATATAGAAATTGGTTAGCTTTTCAGCTAGGTTGAACCCCCCCCCCCCCCCACCCCGGGCTTCTGGTCTATAACTGCCTATTAGGGGCCTCACAAGTAGAGAGTTGTCCTTTGGACGTGAAAAGCCTGGAAACAAATGAAATGAGGTTTAACTTGAACGACCTACCTGTCTGCATCAACCAAGTTAATGTAAATAGGCATATGCCATGCCACGACGTGTTCTGTACGGGAATTTTTGCCTGGACAGCGGCATTTCCATCCACTTTTTAATGCATTCGCTCCGTGCCGGTAAAAGAGCCTTGTCAGTTAAACATGCATTACGGAAGAGCTAAATCTGCCTATAGCAGGTCTTTCTTTAGGCCTGAAATGTTTTCTAAAGTATTAATTAGACATTAATTAACTGATCCAGGCCTTAATCAACTCTCGATGGCATCAGATTTCTCCGATATTAAATAGATTAGAATGGTTCAGCGATACTTTGATTTAATCAAATATGGAGGACCGAGACTTAGCTTCGATCAACCAGTACGGTGGTTGAAATTATTACACACGTCTGTCAAACCTTCAAAGGCTAATATCTTCGCTTGCGATAGAGTAATTTGAATGAAATTTTCAAATTATTCATTTTACATCATCTACTTTCGAACTATTATAGCAAGAATGGTTAGTTCTTTATCTAAATCTTACATAATGTATCTTTAAAATTTGATGATACTTAAGCAGAAACGCCACTGTCCGAGCAAAATTGCACTCGCATCACACAGCATTGTGTATACCCGTCTTATTAACCCGCGAAGAACAAAAGTACGTTATTAAACCCCATTTCATTCCGTATTCTTTACATTTTTGATTAAAGACCCAACATGCCAGTATAAAACTTACGAGCACATAAGATCAACATAAGTTTTATTTTAAATATTGGGGTCTAAGTCAGACACCTGTTCCTACATTATGTTGAACTAGCCTATCAAACCATGACTGGTCCATCAGACAAGTTTCTTAGGTTTTTCTTCTAGCCTACACGTTCCTAGTTTATGCTGGACTAGTCTCTCAACCATGACTGGCACGTCAGACAAGTTTCTTAGGAAAGAATTATAATATGTCTGCGATATCACAATAGATGGAAGTGGACGTAAATACCACAAGAAGAAGAAGAATGGGGGATGCCTTGTTCCAAGGATTTAATAATACATTTTGGGCTTTACAAAGTTCAAATATATATTAGAAAAGACTAGCGCAACAGGCATGCCGGAACGATTCGCCATAAAGTGGTCTTTTATTACATATATGTATATGTAAAGAGATTCCAACTGTTGAATACTATAATATGAACTGTGTTTAATCCTTTTCCATGTCCCGTCTTTTTAAAGTGGCCCAGTCGATGTAGAAAAGTAGGACGTTAAACCCCATTTATTCATCTCTATGACTGCGTATTTACACTTATTCTCCAGTACTATTTTTACAATACACTTGTTACCGTAAATGGGAATTTCTTCATATGTACACTATACTTATGTGCATTATTTTTATTCACATAATTATATACACTGTTAAAGTTCAATTATTGCATTATCCTTATTTACATTATATTATCATTGCTTACATTTTATTATCCTTATTCGTTTATTGGCACATATCCGGTTTGCCTGAACACTATCAGACTGAAAAACACGGCAACTATAAGATTTAAAACACTTGCTAACACTTCAAATGCAAATGACCAATATATTTTTGCTCGTGTTGTGTCCGCTTGATACCCATATATAGTCACACCGCTCAGACCTATTACACCTGAAACATCAAAATTTATATAGATTTAAAAGTTAAAGATGAATTACGTAAGAGCTAAATCTGCATATTGTAGGTCTTTATGTTGGATTCCAACGTTATATAAACTATTATTTAGACATTTATATACATGACAAGCATATAATCAACTATCTAGATCGTCGGATGGCCGAGATTCAAATGGATTACAACACCCGTGAGATTTTAAAAAATTTCACGATAAAATGGATAATCGAGACTTAGAATCGAATGTCAAGTAACGTTGTTACGAGTATGAACAATCTGCGCTAGATCTTGTTAACCTTCCAAACGTTCATAACTTGCCATTTTTCATTTTCTGTTTTTAACTATTATAGCAGGAACGGCCAGCTCTTTATCTAAATCTTACATAATGCATCGTTAATGAAAGAAGCAACATTGTTATTAATTTATGAAAGCCAACCACCTCTAACATGCTACCTTATGAATACTCTAATTCTTAAATTGGTAGGATACCAAAATAAGAGGCGTTTTTACGAGCAACCGATTATTGCTAATCGATTTGCAATTCCTTTTCAAACACATTTACGGCAAAAATAAGCCTAATCGATTTCACCTAATTGTCGTATTTACCACGACGATTTGTCAAATCGATTATGCAAATCTTCCAATTTGCTCTCCTGACGGTTCGATTGCCAAGATGGAGTCACCAACAATTAAGGGACACGAAGAGCCCGACGATAATTCATTTTCTTTTGAATTTCACGTTAAAATATGAATATCATGGACATTCCTAATACCAATACGGTGCATTTGGGGACAATCAGCTGGTACGACCCTCGTTTTTATTTTTTGGGAGGTGTCTTCAAGAACTGAATAAGGAAAAATGAATTTTTTAACATTTTTCTTCAATTCTTCAGCCATCTTGCGAGGCAAATCGTCGCGTTTACAAGAACCGATTCGAATACCAACCCGAGACCCACGTCATGTACAAATCGAGATAGATAATCGAAATCGATTTGTTTTTTCGTAAAAACGCCTAAGGTTTATTTAAACATACATTATGCAAGAGCTAAATCTGATTATTGCGTGTCTTTATTTAGGCTTCAGATGTCATAGAAATTATAAATTAGATCTTTATTTACACAACCAGCACAAAATCAACTCTGTAGACCCGCGGATGGCTTGGATTCGGCTTGGATTTAAACAAGATTTCATTGATTGATTACATTTTTAAATGGCGTCGTAAGCGGAGATTAACCGTTACGTTGACGTCATACTCCTGAAATTTTAGATCGCGGCTAAATGATAGAGTGTACGAAGCGAGGCCGCTGTTGAGCGAGGCGGCATGTCAGTCAATTTGATTGAAAGTTCGATATATACGGCCTTGATATTATGTTTCGTTGTGGTTAAAATGAGAGTTTGGATGTCGGTATTATATACGCTCTTTTGTCACTTGCGTTTACAGAAAAATTATGGAAATTGATAAACATCGCAGCTACACTGTAAAACTTTTTCCGTAAAATTTACGGACAAATGGCTGGCAGCTAGGTTGCCAACCAATGTACGTAAAAATTACGACACACCGTAAATATATTTTTACGAACATGTAAAAATTACGTCCAAAGATTGGCAACCTAGCTGCCAGCCATTTGTTCGTAAATTTTACGGAAAATGTTTTACAGCTGTAAAAAAACTTATGGTATGATAAGCATCAAAAAGACATTTACTTAAGATTTAAAACAATATAAGATACAATTAATTCCTCAAAAATGCTTTTACATGATAGTTTAAGATATAATAAAAGACCTGAAAATACTGGAAATTGGAGATTACTGTCAGTAAGTAAAGCTAACAACTGCCTTAAAAAAAAAAAACCTGTCAACCACAAATTCATATTTTTAACACATTGGATCAAGAGCAGATTTGATATTACAATATGGAGAATGTTTAGAGATATAACATATTCTTTGGCTGTCAAGCAGTTTGGTGGTATATTTCAACAAAAACAAAGCTCCTTTCATAATTCTTCATTAATAATAATGAACATTTGTACATGGAATAGTGACGACTTTAAAAAAAAAAAGAGAATTTGTTGCCCTATTAACAAGGGAAATAACTCTCCAAAATATTTATCAAGTTCTCACAAGACAAGCAAACAAGAATTCCCAGCAATTAAAAAATGTATGTGAAAATTTCCATGGATGTATCAAATAATGGGTAGCAACAAAATATAAATTTAACAATAATGAAATTATCCATTCAAATTCTTGTACATGTAACATTTACATTATAATATTCAAATGAATTTTTTTTATAGTAGAACTAGGGTGGCCCACGCACCTACAGAAATACAGTCCACCGCTGATAGTTCGAGACTACCACTGAAGCGTGCACATTCGCCGTGTCGAGGCCAACTTTCTGACAGTATGATACTATAAATAGCCATGGCACGTGCAATTCTCTACAAATCTATCAACTATTACAGCCGTAAAAAAATTATTGTTGACGATTTTGAATAGCAGTGAAATTAAGCTTCTTGGTTATTACAGCAGATTTAGAAATTACGTTCGTTTCATTTTTTAAATCGCTTTATCATTAACTGTACCGTTAAGAGCGGTATCTTTTGGTTTAGTACAAATAATATCTCAGAAACACTCGGGTTAGACAGGAACATGATACTAGCAGTAGTTTCATTTTACTTTTACAAGCTTCTTAAAACAATTGTTGAGCTAGCTAACGTGCTCATTTCTAAATTCAATTTCTTGTTCTAGCTTTCTGTTATGTTTCGTAAGAAAGTAGTCTTGATTATCCCGACCTGTCAATCAGCCCTAGAATGGTCGATAGACTGGTTAAGCGAGACTAATTTCAAAACAAGGGCACGTAACCTATCTTTTACTCAAAAGTGTCTGGATGTTATGGACGACACATGGAACCAGTTTTCAGTCTATTATTTATAGATGATTAATGGTCATAGCTTATTAAGTACAACATGATCGTTTATTTAGTGACTATAATTGTGTGAAACTGATTTGAGGCTTGGCATATATATAAATATTGTGGCGAAATTGTCGAGATATATGGAGATATTTATATATGGTGGGTCACCCTAGTAGAACAACAACATTCTGAATCTATTCTACAAATATATAATCAGTGTGTTACAATAGAATTATCCTCAAATCTTTTTCTAAAATCTTAACCAAGGTGTTGTAATATTTACCTCAAATCTATTATTTAAAACATCAACAACATGAAAGTAAATTATAACAGTAAAACATGATCTAATGAAATAATGAAATCATTCAAATTTTTGGAATTAATGAATTTGCATTCTAAATGTTTAAATGAACAATTTAAAATCTAACAATTATTGAACCCCAAAAGTATCATGACTTTAAAACAAGAACAGCATCAATGCAGAATTCCTATTATTCCACCTTAAATGTACAGCTTGTTTCAATGATTTGCTTAATCTCTGTTTGAAAATGTATATCATTAAATTTTGCACAATAACTCTGCCTAAGCATGTACATTCCTTAGTGAGAATGGCATAAATTGATTCAGTCTCGTAGATAAAAATTTAGATGGAACTCGACTACTGAAAAAGTTAATGAACCAGTCCCAAAATGAAATGTGTAGATGAGAGTTATACATTTTTAATGTTTATGCAACACGGCCGCATATTTAGAGACAAAATGAACTGAGGATAATTTTACAAATGTACCAAATTGTTGATGGACAAATTAAATGACCAAAAGATTTTTCCATTAAAGTAAACGGACATCTTATCAAAAGTACAATAAGAAGATCAAGTTTAATTAAGAAGATTCATTAAAAAGATTTCTTGCAGTGCGTTTAAAGTCTCATTTACAAAGTATCACTCATAAAAGGGTTGTGGCTCGGTCCCTTATCACCTATTTTATACACACTATGTGCTGGTGTATAAAAACTAACCATAAACTCAATAGGCCTATCCCTAAAGTTTGCATGCATGAACATTATTGCATCATAGGTTGCAACGATACATATCACAGTATTTCTTCTTGGACGTGTTTCCAGCTCTCTAGCCACTGCTTTTCCATCTGACGTTTTTGATTCAAAATGTTCCTATATCCGTGATTTGTGGTTCGCCGGAGGGCTATGTACTTTCAGCGGGACACATGTTTCATTGCCGAAAGCCATCTTTTCTCCTTCTTGTCACATGAACTACAGGGGAGTATTCTGCATCGGATGAAAATGGACAGTTAAAATATCTGTACCATGTTAACCAAACCGTGGTCTTAAAGCACTTTGAACCAAAATGTGGCATCTATACCGTCGTTTACCTTCTCACAGTACCGGTATATTGTTGCTATTGTTGTAACTGTACTTGATTCATTTAAAGTTTGACAGTTTAGTGATTAGTTATATCACTTTTTGGCATACTCGAGTCTTCCTCTTTTTCATGATTTCTGTGCGTTATCTGGGTTAATTTCAAAAATGCACCTGCAAAACAAATATTCTCAATCAGGTTGTTTCTTATGACATCCATTTCAAAAGAACACATTTTAATTAAGGAAAAGGGAGCTAAATGTGCCAGAAAATGAAGTTTCATGTCCACAAACAGGAGACTAAACATATCACACATACTATCAGTGTAGACTGGAATAACCAGACTGCCATTCAATTTGGACATATTTCGCCGAGCATAACTGATTACAAATTACACTAAAAACAGAAACGACTGAATGTAAATCAGTTTATAGACATTCATAATAGATTATTATCGTTGCGACCCATTGTGTTCATTTCTCGGGGCCAAAGAATACAGATTTAGCTCCTTTAAGTTAGGTTGAACTTTTCTGATCATGATTCATATTGGTAGTAGCTGTAACTAACGTAACACCCATTGCTTTCCGGGTTAAAACCCATGCTTTCTTCTATCGTTACCGCATCTTGGGTTTCTGATCAGATTTTTGGACTAACCAGTGGCGACTCTGCACTTATGACAGGTAAAACTAAAAGCAGACTAAAATGGGATTCACCTGTTGCTAATAAGACCTACCCCAAGGTTCAAGCTGGGAGAGAGAAATGGGATTTAACATCCACACACAACACGAACTAGGTCATTTTTGGACTAATAAACATAGAATTTTATTTCAATAATTCGCTTTAACCGTAGGTCTTTTATAAATAGTGGGAGGAAAACGAACGACCCAGAAAAAATGAACACGGTTAGTCAGGCAATCTTACTCCTTTCAACGCCACTTGACTCAAAGACATAGGCTTCATTTTGACCTAACTAAGGCCCATGTTAGACCATGGACCTTATATAAGCTCCATGGTTAGACCATTCGTCCAACCACCACCTCAAATTTCAAGGTCCAAGCAGAGGGCAGGAAGTGTTGGTTTTCATTAACAATGTGCTCAACTCCCAAAATTATTATCTTCAGTAAGTTCAATCTTATAATTTTTCTTTACCGGTAGGGCCAACCTAAACCGTTGAAAAAATTTTACTAACCCAGAGAAAGGCTGGGTAGCCCACTCTATAGATGACAGGAATGGCACTCAAGGATGCAATAAGCTGTGCCTAAAAAAATTAGTAAAAAAAAAAATTAAAGATCATTATCCAGACAATGCATTGACAATTCAATAAATTCTTAATAATGGTTTTCAGTGGTAGGCCTAGCCTACAGACCTGAGACTATGAACTTAATGAAGCCCAGAAATGTTAGCCCTTCATAGTTCATATATTTTTTTTCTAGGCTTATAGGCTATCAATGTTATTATTATGTCATCCGAGTAGCCTCAACTAGAACTGAAGCCTCAACTAGAACTGAAGCCTCCAAAAACAATGCGAAAAAATATTAGGCCTAGCACTAACACCAGAGTGTATTATTACTCTGTGCTAACACTAACACTGTGACAGTGTATGTGAGTATCATGTATGTCCATTTGTCTAGAAGTAGAAGAGTCTATTCCTACTATTTCATATTAAATCAGTTACCGTACATTTTTACGAATGCTAAGAATCAATCTATGTCAAACAAAGATGTGTCCCTACTGTATACTTACCTCAAACTGCAATGTTTGGTATTGACTGTAGTGTTCAACTATTGTGCTCGATGTTGAGGGATTCCTCTTTGCCGCTAACTAACGGTCTTCGCAGTAATGGCGCCCAGGAAGATCGATGACGTCACTTTAATTTAAACACCCGTATGTCATATTTACGGACGAAATTCTGTATTTCTCAAATATTAACAGACTCGTGTCTGTTATCAGGATAACAGACCTGCGCTGTAGGCGTTTTACAGAAACAAGTCTGTAAAAATTACAGAAAAGGCTTACAGTGTAACATCACCCCAGTTGAATTGTAGCCCCATTGGATCATGTTTCCTATCTGTCTGCTTCGGGAGTTACGTATCGGGAGTTACGTAGGCCTACCAGTTACAGTACAAGAGTACACGCGGGCTAACAAAAAGTCGGCTATAATTATGCCTTATTGATTTGGTCCATTCCTTTCAAACTTTCGCTTCTTATCTATACATTAAAAGTCTTATTTTTAATTTGTAGTAAAAATAAATGCGATACGAATTGAATTGCAACCCCGTCTCAAACCGAATATGCTAACGGTACCACAGCCATTGAAAACGTTACTTGATAATCGAGATTATGTAGGTGGAGTTTTCGCCTGTCAATCAAACGATCGACCATTCTCGGAGACGGTGAAGAGAGGGTTGACTCCTATTTTTAGTCAAAAATTACAATGGTGATAACTTTGTTCAGAATAAAGTAATTTGACTGAAATTCTGAATATATTCTTCTTTCATCATCTATTTTTTAACTGTTATAGCAAGAATGGCAAACTCTCTATTAAAATCTTCCATAACGTGTCTTTAAATGTATAGTGATACTATGGAAGCCTGTTGTGGCCATTTTATAATCTCAAAGTTGCGGGGCGAGAAGATAAGGGTTTAGGACCGAGAAATTAAGATTGCAATCAGACCGCAACAGGTTTCCGTACTTTACAGTAAGCGACATCTTGAGAGATAAGCAATGGTCATTATTTAAGAAGAATAGAAGTACGAGTTAGAATTTCTAAATTAATATGCATATCATGAAATGAAATGGGGTTTATAAAACACCCCACTGTTCTGTCCCGACTTAGACATACTCCGTACAGTGTACCAAGAGTGAAATTTTGCAAGGGCAGCGGCACTATGACCTACTTTTATATCGAATTCCAACTGCAAAGGGATCTTTTACGTGCATGTCAATGTATACACGGGACCATACGAACGGCTAGAAAGCTGTCCTTGTCAGGCGCTCCGTCCTGCACCACTGACAAGGGAAAAACCACGTCGGAAAATCCCGATGACCTTTCACGGCCAATGCAGGGATCGATCACGCCACCCCAAGGCTAACGAGCCAGCTTCTTACCCACTTAGCCACCGTAAGCTGATTTATGATGACAAATTATTCTGGTTTAGTTAGACTCATTACCGTTGTAAAGGAGAATTCCCAGATAAAGAATTACCACAAAAACTCTTTACCTCGGTTTGTCGTTAACATCCGTTAACTAGACGTTGTTCTTTGAGGAAACCACACTCAAAAATTCAGCCCGGGATTATATGGTTAGTGGCTAACTTGTGGTTTTCAGGCTGATTTTAAGAAACGCTAGCTCAAAATATCTTATAGTCTTACAATTAGACCAGCGCTTTGATTTGGGGTATTTAAGGCAGTCTAACATATATACTAACCGGCCATCGTTAAGAAGACAACAGCTACTGTAGCGTGAAACCTCGATTCATTTCGATATTGGAAGGCAATCAAAGTTAATAGTGCTAAAACTTGAAATAAAATAGTTAGCCCTTCTAAACTTACTGCAACCTTAACCCAACCTGAAAAATACAAGGCATGTACTACTTTACATTTTGAACATGTTGACATTTTAATGTTTTTAGAACTATTTGTTTTACATTGTATGTATTTTGATTGTGAATAATGTCCTGGAGCAGCTTGTTAGCTATAGCACTCAGCGCTATACAAATTGATTATTATTATTAGGCCTATTATCATTAATGAGATTTATATATGTTGTTGGAAACACAAGACTACGGTAAAATAAAAGAGTTACCTTCCCTGTATCGCGAAACGTTGCCCGGGTTAGTGCTATATGATAAGGCCAGCTTAATTTTTCGTCATAGGTCACGAGGTGTAAACAAAGAGAGATAGAGAGAAATGGGGTTTAACGTCCACTCGACACAAACTAGGTCATTTCGGGACTAACATATGGTTTAATTTTATTTCAATAATTCGCTTGCGCGTAGGGGTCTTTAGCAGTGGGAGGAAACCCACGAGGTTGGACAGGCGACCTTACTTCTTGTCACGTACAACCGGGGATTCGAAACCACGCCAGTCGACTCAATGACAGACTTTATGATACAGCGCGCGCACGCTAACCATTCAGCCTGTCCAACCTCGTGGGTTTTCTCCGGGTCCTCCGGTTTCCTCCCACTGCTAAAGACCCCTATGCGCAAGCGAATTATTGAAATAAAATTAAACCATATGTTAGTCCCGAAATGACCTAGTTGTGTCGAGTGGACGTTAAACCCCATTTCTCTCTCTCTCTCTCTCTCTCTCTCTCTCTCTCCACCCCCCCCCCCCGAGGTGTAAACAAGGCTAGCGCTAATCCCAACCGTAACTCTAACCCTCTAGCCCCAATGCTTACCATAACCTACAATCTCGCCAACAACAACGTGCCCGAACCTTATTTACATTGAGTTGGCCATAATAAATTGATTTAGTTCGTTACTCCCTTGGTCTACAAGTAAAAACAAGTCAGCTTGTAGACCAATTAAACCCGCGAAATCAATCGTTCGTGATTCCTACCAAGCGTTACAGTAGTTATTTAATAAGCTGATAAGACTCGTTACCGTTGCTTTGAGAAAAAAGGGGAGTCTACTCACCTTCACTTGCAGCAAGATCGACGTTTGTACAAATATAAGAGTCGCCAGTCAAAGTACACTTCCTAAAGAGACCAAAGTATTTACCATTTTCTTCGTACTGCCAATATGGTGTGACAAACCCAACGACCTAACAAAATAAAACAAAGCTCTTTTCTATTCCTTGCATGAGTCAGGGAACCTTGAACCCATGGATCACATTTTACCCAATATTATTTTCTGATCATCTATCTGTGCAAGTCTCATTGAGTGGATAACATGCTCCAACAAATGGACCATTAAAGGCAAATATCACATGATTGTTCTACCTATTAATAAATACTGGGCTCCGTTTAGTTATTGCTGAAATGTCGATTCGGGAGCCACGATGTCTGAATGAGTAAGACGTTGGCTCGCTAACCTTATGGTTCCGTGTTCGTTCCCGTTGTTAGCCGACTGTTAAGGGCATCCCAAACTTAGGCTGCCTGGCTACAGCTAGCTCCGCCTGAGAACAAGCCCTAAGCTAATTACCCGACATTTTAATTCCTACATCGACGATTTTAGTCGAAAACACTGAGTATGCTTTTAGTAATGTTTAGAAGTATTTATTTCTCTTCTATTGTCATATTGAATGAAATTAAATATGTTTATTTAGCCGCTGTGTGTATGAAAGATGTCAAACTAATCAAAGCCGATTGTCCCGTTTATCAGGTCACACAATGACCTAAAAAATAAGAGTAAAGTAATTCCTTCTCGTTTATAACCCTTCTCTTTCATTCCAGTAATGCGTTTGGTCGAACCAAAAACTGGGGGGGGGGGGGTTGGAGCGGAGCAAAGAAACAAGAAGTATAGTACAAGAAGAAAAACATTCAAGTCTAACAGAGAATATTTGGTGGCCTACAAAACAAAAGTTATTCCCCGTCAATCATTAACCATTGTAGAAAACCCCACCCGGTCTCGCCTGTGGATAAAAACAAGACGAGATTCATTATTCTGCGGCACTTTCCGGTAAAATTCGTCGTTAATGAAATCTACAACTTTATTATGATATATCATAGACCCTGTCAAAGGTGTCGAAAAATAAATTGACATTCCGATAGTTTTGAAAATGAAATAATTTCGTACAAACTTGTTTTTAAAAGTTTTATCTCCATTAAACATACATTATGTAAGAGCTAAAACTGCCTATTGCGGGTCTTTCTTTAGGCCTGAAATGTTATCTAAATTATTAATTACACATTAATTAACTTATACAGGCCATAATCAACTCTAGATGGCAGCGCTAGCCTGTGATCTTTAGTGGATTGTAAGCCGATTTACTGCATAACTTTCCTTCTCTATTAAACGATTAAATGGATAATCGAGACTATGCTGTTTATCGTAATAATAATAATAATGTACATTTATATAGCGCTTAATCCATCCATGAGCATGCTCTAAGCGCTGTAAGTTAATGGCTTCTGTGGATAATACATCGTGAACATATGCGTCTTAAGTCTAGATCGAAATTGAGCAACTGTTTCTGAAAACTTTATTTTGTCAGGTAAGTCATTCCATAGTCGTGGACCATACACACCATCGTACTGACTTTAGTAATGATGACCGAGGCTTATGGGAATTTCAGGCGCTTAGTTCTCGGTTCATAGTGGTTCAATTTGAATGAAATTTTCATCAAATTGCCTTTACATTATCTAGTTTTTAACTATTATAGTGAGAACTGCTAACTCGTAACCGAATCTCCCATAATGTATCTTTAATTAATTATACAACTTAGTAAAAATGCCTACCTGGAAGATTAGTGCGAGAAGATGCACAGACGTCACAGCAATATACCCTTTACTAGCCATGATGTATTATAATATTGCAACAATCCTGAAACGAAGTCCGTATATCAATAATACAACACATAAAGTATACTAACATGAACTGGAAATAACCATTTTTAAGCCCGAATGATTTATGGAGAACTTATAATGGGGAAATATTTAAAGGTTTATTATAAGGAAATAAGTTGCAATAGAACGTGTAAAATCATTGTGTTCTTCTAGTTTTATTTGCCATATCATTTCTGTTCAAAAACTGATTTAATTCCAAGTAAATTTTTCTTAAAAAGGTTAATTTAAAGAGACGTGATTTATTGCTACAACCCTTTATTCCTGTTCTGCTCAATTTCTATTGAATTTTAAGCTTTAAAGTGACAACATACTTATGCCAGTCGGTATAAATCGCCGGCAATTTACTCCACATTAACCAACCTTTAGTCATAGTATATAATTGCTATATATATACATTAATTCATAACTATTGTAACTGTATTTAAGCTCCGTTACGTAACCAACCTTTAATCATCGTATATAATTGCTATGTATATATACATTAATTCATAATTATTGTAACTGTATTTAAGCTCCGCTGCGTACAACGTTCTCAATAATATACCTCGATCACGTCATTTATCATGTATACGTCCTATTTCGCATTCCAACTAAATTTAAAAAGTGGGATTTTTAATTGCCTATTAGAGAAATGCGTTGTTTTTTGTTTCGGATACACTACGCTGAAAATGGCTATAACGTATAATGCCCTACACACTGCAAAGAATGAGTACTGATTGATACCAATAGGAAGAGAGCGAGCGAGAGAGAGAGAGAGAGAGGCGGGCGGGGGGGGGGGTGGTAACGTCCACACGACATAAACTAGGTCATTTCAGGACTAACACATGGTTCAATTTAATTTCAGTAATTCGCTTGCGCGTAGGGGTGTTTAGCAGAAATCCCACGAGGTTGGACAGGCGACCCTACTCCTTGTCACGTACAACCGGGAAATCGAAACCCCACCAGTTGACTCAATGACAGACCGTATGATACATCGCGCACGTGCTAACCATTCGGCCTTCAGCCCCCCCCCCCCCACACACACACACACACAGACACACAATAGGAAGAGGATGTTAATTTAGTATTTCTAGAGCAAACGACGCTTTTAGAAAGTATAGTTCACATATATTTATAGATGTGATACGCCATTTGGAATGTGGTGACAATTCATAATTGATTTATTTATAGTTTGCCTTCCTTATGAAATCGTCTTACAGTTGAACAATAAATGAAACATTCCCTCCCTATATTATTAATAGTGCGTTTCGTTTTAATTCCGTTTCGTTTTATTTTCTTACGTAATATTGAAAAATCCTGTTGTACATTTAATTTAGCAATACTTTGATATTAGTAAATCATAATTATTGTGCAGGAAAACCATTTTGTCTATTTTATATAATTTACGGTGACATGGTTAGTGATATGAGTATCGAGAGAAGTGGAGAGAGATATGTGTTTTTACATCTACAGAATATACAGAACACAATAAGGCCATATGGTTGGTTAATACATATTTCATTAATATACACACTCTCGGTGCTCTAGCTGTGAATTGATGATGATTTCAGAATTTGTCATCAATTTTTTCTAACAGCAAAACTAATTCCTAACCCTGAATAATGTTCGTTCCAGGGGAATAAAGGTCATGTCAGTGGGGAACACATTTCGATATCTAGCAGTGGAAGACATCTGGAGAACCAGGACAAGAATTACAAGGTTAGACAGGGGAGGCTACATACTAAACTGAGGCTGCCTGTGAAGAGTTAGCTCTGCATGAGAACAGTTACTAAGCTAGCTGGTCGAAATTTTAATTTAAGTCCTAAATCGACAATTTTAGTCAAAAACATTAAGTATACTTCGAGAATTTTAAGAAGTATGTATTCTGCTTTCATTAATCGAATTGAATAGGTTTGTGTATGCCAGATGTAAAACGGGGTAGAATCGCATAACTTATTCTCACTATAAGTTAGAGTCTATAGTCGCTTGCTTTACCCGGTGTCAAAAATAAAATGGACTCCAATATCGTGAATATATACAATTTAATTCGCACTTCTAGAATAAGTCCCGCTGACATAGCTGTAACTATTTATTTATTTTCATTCGCTAGACATATATGTTAACAAAATGTTTAATTACGTGACAGATGTTGTTGAATATTATTAAAATCGATATTACAAATTATTCATGTAGCATTAATATAATTTATAACGGAAACATTTATTGGACATTAAAGAATCGTCGATTTAAAGAAACAAACACGGGTAACAATTCTATAGAAAACAATTATTGTTTATTACTGATTGACGTTTTGAATAAGTTTCTTCATACTAAACTTAGGCCGCCTGTCTACAATTAGCTCCGCTCGAGAATAGACACTCAGCTAGTTGACCGACATTTCAAGTGGAAAACACTAAGTATATTTTGCGAATTTTGAGAAGTATATATTCTGCTTTCATTTAGTAAAATTGAAAAGGTTTAATTGGTATTTTGGGGTTTTTTTTTTGTTTGTTTGTTTTTTTTTGTATAGCAGATGTGAATAGGAGTAGGACCACATTACAAAACAGTAATGGCGGCTATTTAGGGAAGAGATCTATTCTCGAAGTATGAAGTAGATGGATCTCTGTGTGCAGAATGAAGCTTCTGTAGTGTTTATTAAAGAGGCATTATTCAAGAGCTAAACTTGCCTAATGCAGGTCTTTCTTTAGTCCTTAGGGGGGTTGGATGGCTGAATGGTTAGCACGTGCGCACGCTGTATCATAAAGTCTGTCATTGAGTCGACTGGTGTGGTTTCGAATCCCCGATTGTACGTGACAAGGAGTAGGGTCGCCTGTCCAACCTCGTGGGTTTTCTCCGGGTCCTCCGGTTTCCTCCCACTGCTAAAGACCCCTATGCGCAAGCGAATTATTGAAATAAAATTAAAACCATATATAGTCGAGAAATGACCTCGTTTGCGTCGAATGGACGTTAAACATGCTCGAGATTTTAACTAGTTTAGAACGGCAAAAGGCTCCATGATATAGTAAACAATTGACAATGCTCCATATACTGACAAATGACCATATTTTGTCCCCTTGCTACTTTCAAGGGAGATGGGTGTCCGAGTGGTCTAACATGCCATCTGTAGATTATAAAGTCTGTTACTGAGTCAAATTTGGTGTTTCTTCGATCCCTAGCTTGTACATGACCACGGGAAATCCCGTGGATTATCTCCGGCTTTTCTGCGCCCCCCCCCCCCCGCGCAAGCGAATTTTTGAAATAAACATGTACCATATCTTTATCTTGAAAAAATAGAAGGGGGGGGGGGCGAATGAATAATGCGTGCGTGGTAGACTATAAGGTCTGTCATTGAGTCAAGTGGTATGGTTTCGATTTTCCGCTTGTTCGTAGGGTCGCCTATCCAATCTCTTGGTTTTTTTTTCGGATGCCTCGGTTTCCCCCCGCTGCTTAAGACCTCAACACGGAAGCGAATTATTGAAATAAAATTGAACCATGTTAGTCCCAAAATGACTTAGTTTGTGTCGAGAGGTCGTTAAACCCCATTTCTCTCTCTCTCTTTCTAATCCTGAAATGACATGGTTTGTGTTGATTTGACGTTAAACCCCATTTCGCTCTTATAAGAAAACTAGGACGTTAAACCCCATTTCATTTCGCTCTTTTTGTTGCTATATACTGTCCATAATTCCCTGCGCTTTGGTTTGTAAATATCCCATAACGTAGACGAAAACATGCATTCATATTTTGCAACAATGGGATGTTGTTAATAAAGGGCTATATAACCTACCCTTCAGTCAGTAGTTATTGATACCGTTCTGTCTACTGTATTTCCACAAATGTCTAGCCACTCTAGAATATCTTGGGCTGACTGTGGCTGTATCGATGATGGCAATAAGCACCAGGAATGTAGCGGCTGTTTGGTAGAAGTATTATCATCGGTTTGCATCTAGATGACATTTAATCATGTTTTCTGCCATAGTACACGCATATTGGGAAAACACAGACTTCTATTTATATAAAGCCCACTACTCTGCCTTGCACGAGTAATAACGAATAACGGGTCTCGTGACAATAATGTACTTAAATATTTAGTGTTTTTTCCTGTATTACGACAACCAAGACGCGATTGTCCAGTTGATAAAGAGCACCAGCTAGAGAGAGAGAGAGAGAGAGACATGGAGGGGGGTACAGATAATAAGTTATTTCGAGATTAGCATAAAGATACAATAAAATATCTTCAATTCAAAGGGTGCAGCGTGATTTCCCGGCATTCTTCCCTCGTGTCAGTGCTGCAGGACGGATAGCCTGGCAAGGGGCAACGTATGTTTGGATGGGACACATTGAAGTGGACGTAAAAGAGCCCCTGACAGATGGAATGCGCACTAATAATAGGAAGTAGCGCCACGGTTCGGGCAAAATTTCCCTCATAGCAGACTGAATGACATTCCCGTCTCAATAGCTCAATCGGAGCAGAACAGTGAGACGTTAAACCCCATTCCATCTCTAGCCTTGGGAGGAGAACCCTGAGAAAGACCACAAACGGTAAGGGCCAGAGAGAGAGCATGCGTGATTGGAAGAATGAATAAAATGGGGTTTAACGTCCTACTTATCTTCACCAATCGGGCTAATTATAACGGACATACGCCATACAGTCTGCTATGAGGGACACTTTGTTCGGAAAGCAATTGAATTCCAACTGTTAATGGGCCTTTTACGTGTACACGAGGCATCGTTCCACCCGAACGATTATATACTCATTTCCTTGCCAGACTCCCTATTCTGCACCACTGACAAGTGGTGAAACCACACTAGACAATATGTAACACTATTTTAGTATAACAGAGATCAGTTTAGTAAATACAGCATTTACAGCAGAATATAACACATCTATACAATTACAACAACAATACATGTACTTAAACTAATATACAGGTACTAGACTACGACAGTAACACATATAACTATGTTAAATCCAACATTCTGCCAATTAAGGCAGCGGCTGAACTCGGGTGAGTCCACACACTCGCCCAAGCCTCTCTTCTCTTCCCCCCTCTTCTCTGCCTAACTGTCAGCCAACGCCTGATTATACAGTCCCAATTGCACTGCGTATTTCCTTTGAAGTCATTATCAGGTCATGGTATGATTACTGACCAGACATATTCCTTATATGTAGTTTGTAAATGACATATGGGATTAATTACATGTTTAATTAGAACGTGACTAAACAGAAGTATATAGAGTTGAAAAGTCGACACCATCTATTATTATTATCAAAACCAGCTCAGGTCAATAAGTTATGGTGGCTGATTGGTATCATGTCGTAATGTCGTCTTTCATAACGCGACAACCCGACAACCCGACATCACGACATTTCTACCCGACAACCGAACAACCCGACAATATCATTGATCATGAAAGTCGACAACCCGACAACCCGACATCACGACAACCTGACAACCCGACATCACGACAACCTGACAACCCGACATCACGACAACCTGACAACCCGACATCCCGACAACCCGACACCACGACATTTTTACCCGACATCACGACATTTTTACCCGACATCACGACATTTTTAGTGTCGTAATGTCGGGTAAAAATGTCGTGATGTCGGGTAGAAATGTCGTGATGTCGGGTAGAAATGTCGGGTTGTCGGGTTGTCGCGTTATGAAAGGCGACATCACGACATTACGACATGATACCAATCAGCCACCATAATAAGTTCACAGAATCTAAATAAAAGTTCATATTTTATAAAATAGAAAATTAAGCCACCGTGGGTAAAATCTAAAAACAAATAATTACAGATGAAGTGTATCTGACTAAGATTGATTCTATTTTTCTTGACTTATATGGAAGTCCAAATGGGACAATATTCACGATTTAGTTCTTTGTTGAGTAAAATTCATGAATTATTGTTTTAAACATACGTTATGCAAGAGCAAAATCTGATTATTGCAAGTCTTAGGCTTCAGATGTTATAAAAATTATAAATTAGATCTTTATTTAAACAACAAGCCCAAAATCAACTCTGTAGACCCACGGATGGCTCGGCTACAGCTCGGATTTAAATAGGATTTCACTCATTGATAAATTCAAATATGGCGCACCCTGATGAGAATACGTCAGTTAGATCGAGGCTAAATGATAGAGTGTACTTAGCGAGGCCGCTATAGAGCGTTTCCGCATGCCATTGAAAACTTTACTTGATAATCGAGATATGTAGGTGGAGTTAACGCCTGTCAATCAAACGATCGGCCAAGGTGAAGGCACATTTCACTACCATTTCTAGTTAAATGTTACAACGATGAGAACTATGTTCAGAATAAAGTAATTTGACTGAAATTTTAAATATATTCTTCTTTCATCATCTACTTTTGAACTGTTATAGCAAGAATGGCCAACTCTCTATAAAAATCTCCAATAATGTATCTTCAATTTTAAAATTTAATAATATAAATTTTACCGATAAAATGCCGACATTGAAGCATAAAGTGAATACATGTATTGTGTTTAAAATGTTGATTTTGTGAATGAAATGTCGACATAAAAATGTAGAAATTACAGTCATCACTTTAAAATATTGCCTTCGTATATAAAATGTTGAGACTGAAATGTAGAAACACAAATAAGGAATATTCTACACTGTTTGGACTGTTTTTCTCCAGTTGTTTTTATTAAAGATGCATTATGTAAGATTTAGATAAAGAGCGGACCGTTCTTGCTATAATATTTCAAAAATAGATAAATTTTAAATCTTGCGGGCCTTAATCCATTTAAATCTCTGTTATCCGATGACCTATAGAGTTTCTTTAAACATGCATTATGCAAGAGCTAAACCTGCCTATTGCAGGTCTTTCTTTAGGCCTGAAATGTTTTCTAAAGTATTGATTAGACATTAATTAACTGATCCAGGCCTTAATCAACTCTCGATGGCATCAGATTTCTCCGATGTTAAATAGATTAGAATGGTTCAGCGATACTTTGATTTAATCAAATATGGAGGACCGAGACTTAGCTTCGATCAACCAGTACGGTGGTTGAAATTATTGCACACGTCTGTCAAACCTTCAAAGGCTAATATCTTCGCTTGCAATAAATTAATTTGAATGAAATTTTCAAATTATTCATTTTACATTATCTATTTTCGAACTATTATAGCAAGAATGGCCAGTTCTTTATCTAAATCTTACATAATGTATCTTTAAGTGGCATTTAGTAATTGAACAGTAACACACTAACACTAGGGAATAAAAGTTACTGGTTTATTAACATGCAATGTTTCGACGACGATACTCTCGTCTTTCTCATTTCGAAACGTTGCATGTTAATAAACCAGTAATTGTTGTTCCATCAATAGTATAAGTGTGTGACCTATAGAGTTGATTATGGGCTTGTCATAATGTCTAAATAATAGTTTATATTTGAAGCCCCTCAAAAAAGACCTGCAATAGGAAGATTTAGCTGTTACAGAATGCATCTTTATTAGTTTGTTTACAAATCACGTGGGTATACTGGGTAACAATAATGTTATCTGATAAATCAACATTAAAATAAATCTGATTAAAACACAGATCCTATTTCGTTTCGTTTTTATAGCTCAAAATTTCGTTTTGCTTGTCTTTACTACACTAGGATCTGGAAGAGTTGTTATATAATCCATTTCATTTATTGGTGATGAGATCCGATTTTTAGATCGAGTGACTAAACGAGCTGCATTATTTTGATAAACCTGGAGACGTTTTAAACAATATTTTGATGCTCCTGCTAGCAGCCCGTTTGCATAATCTAGTTGAGATAGCACTAGAGGGATGACAATACTTTTTTGTAATTTTGTCACTCAAATATTTTCGTATATGAGATATAGATTCCATCCGCATGTAAACATTTCTGGTTGATTTTCGGAGAGGATAACTTTGTTTCATCAATATATCTCCCAAATTTCAAATTTGTAGCTTTCTTTGTTGGTACGAAGGGTACGAAAGAATGGAAATAAAATGAAATGAAATGGGGTTTAACGTCCTACTGTTCTGCTCCGCCTGGGCTAATGAAGACAGGTATAATTCTCTACAGTGTGTTATGAGCGGAATTTTGCCTGAACAGCGGCGTTATGGCCTACTCTTCTATTGAATTCTTTTACATGCCCGCCAATGTGTACGCGGAACCTCGGTTTTTCGTCCTATCCGAACGACTAGAAACTTGTCCTTGTCAGCCCCCCCCCCCCCCCGTCCTACACCACTGACAAGGGAAAACCATGCCGAAAATTCCAATGAACTTTCTCGGACAACACCGGGAGCGAACCCACGATCTCCAGGCTAGCGAGTCAGCGTCTTACTCACATAGCCACCGTGGCTCCTCGAAAGACTACCCAACCTCGTGGGTTTTCTAAAAAATTAAACCATATGTTAAAGTCCCGAAATGACCTAGTTTGTGTAGAGTGGACGTTAAACCCCATCTCTCTCTCTCTCTCTCTCTCTCTCTCTCTCTCTCTTTAAACACCTATTGAAACAAACATACTAAGTATAATATGCTCATCAGCCCGAATAGACATAATCTCGCATAAATATGTAGGAAAACTTATTAATTTACAACTGTTGTTACCGGATCAACAGAATTCCGTATAGGTTATCTCATTTCCTTAATTAATTCACACATGTGGCCAGTCAAATTAATGGTATATTTTTACTGTTTCTGTCTTTTGTATTTAATGACTGTCTTTGTTCTTATTAAAATTAATCTCTGTCTTCCTTCCATTCACAGTTAATCCCTGGTCTGCTGTGTACATTTTAATTAATTTGGCTGATAATAAGGGTAATATATTGACGTGGTTAACCAAATGAGTATGCGTCACACGTTGAGTGCGGGGAGCTTTTGGCTAAAGTGCCTTTCCACATCTAACCAGCGACTCATAGCACTGCATTGTGCTACAGGGGGACCACACCTACACAATTGCATACAAAAGACCACCCCACGGTCTGGACACGTTATCTACACAGACAACTCAAACAACAAACATGATCAGATCAAGTGAATGGATGCTGGAGGCACGGGCGTCACA